CAGTCTTCAGTGTCACATGATCCTTCAGAAATCAGTCTAATATGCTGATTTATTATCAGTGCTGGAAACTGTTATTTTTTTGGAACCTGTGATACTTTTTTCAGGATTCTTTGATGAATAAAAAGTTAAAAAGAACAGCATTTATTTAAAATAGAAATCTTTTGACCGGTAGTGTATATGTTTATTTATATATATATATTATTTTTTTTTATTTTTTTTTTTATTTATGATTGTAATATTTGTAGATAGAGAGGCAGACAGACAGAAACTGTTTAGATGATCAGACGCGAGATAGCATAAAATAAAATCAATATCTATTTTCTAAATGCATGTTATTGATCTTACTGTCAAAGTTTCATCCATGCATTTTGTTAATTTTATTTTTTACTTTTTTTTTTACCAACATGTCATAACAGTAAGCATCAGTCTTCATGGTGATCATTTTGTCTTCTTAAACTCCGCCCCTTTCTTACAATCCAGTGCACTCTCATTCAGATCCGCCTCCAGCTTTGAAAGCCACGCCCACATCTCAACATCCAATCAACTGATGCACGGAACCAAATCCCGCCTTACATTTTTTTCTCTTTTGTTAATTTGTTTCATTCTGATGCATGTCACAGTATGGAAGAAAAGATCTTACTCTGATTCTATTGCGTTGTGACTTTAAATGACTAATGAAACGAGACAGAAAATATCACACACAATATCACCTCTGCAGTGAATGGGTGCCGTCAGAATGAGAGTCCAAACAGCTGATAAAAACATCACAATAATCCACAAGTAATCCACAGCACTCCAGTCCATCAGTTAACATCTGGAGAAGACAAAAGCTGAAACAAATCCAGCATTAAGACGTTTTTAACTAAAATATGAGTCCATAATCCATAATAACACTTCCTCCAGTGAAAAAGTGTTCTGGTGTGAATCAGGAGAGAAATCTGCACAGATCAAGCAGCGTTTAAACAGCTCTAAACTAATGTGAGAGACAACAGGAGATAGGCTTTTTCACTGGAGGAGGCGTTATTATGGATTATGGACTCATATTTTAGTTAAAAACGTCTTAATGCTGGATTTGTTTCTTATAAACACACGGCTTTTGGCTTAAAACAGACAGTTTCATCTAGGGCTGCACAATTAATTGAATTTCTAATCGCGATAACAATTACAGATGCCACGATCACAAAATCGTCCACTAAATAAAGTCCACTTGTGTTATTCTGCGTGTAATGATGTCTTTTGTCCTTCAGTGTGTTTCTGGTTTTGAGCCACTAGAGGCCGCTCTTCATCACGGCTCTATTCTCTGTGCTCTTCCTCTTCATCACATATCTGTCAGTAATCAGCTGATGATGGCTGTGAACTGGTTTGTTCTTGTATTTTGAGGTTTTGCTTCTGTCTTTAGGCTGGAATCCACAATACTACACCAGCACGGAGTTAGCATTCACAGATTTCAAAGAAAAATGTGCAGTGCATGATGGACGCAGACTTGTGTTTTACCCTCAGACTAAGATTCTGTCCAGTTGGAGGATATTTAGAGCTGATTTTATTATGTAACATATCACAGTTTTTGATGCTCTGCTCGGTGCATTTGATTATTGTATTAAAAAAGACCAGCATAACTTTACTGAAGCTGCACAGTTAACGCTTTAAATGCCCCATATTTTGTGAGAGACAAATATTCGTGAATGTGTTTCCATATTTATTGAATGTTGAAGGGAAGAAAGTTCCCTTGAGCTTCATGAATCAAAAACACTGACGATCTGTCATCAAATATCTGTCTGCTAATGCCCTCATAATAATACTGGTGAACAACAACAAATGATGCACATATATACAGGAATATGTCAATTACAGGCATGTCAGGAACTAGTCACATGTTTTAAGGTGCTTGTAAAGATTAAATAACAATTACAAAATGCATGTATGTAAACATGTAGGACCATGTGACCGCTTCTTGAACAAGATCATCTGCAGCTCTTGCGGTTTGAGAGTCTATGCATTCATCTAGTTTTTACTAATCATGACTAAGATCATGAAATCAACTTTTTATGTTATCTTTGCATTTAAGGTTTACGTTTTTTAGTCTCAAACTTTGTACCTGCGTTAAGAAACACAAAATCAACATGCACTCAGAAAAAACATTGCAAACATTGTAATTTTAGGGTTGCAGTGGCATGTCACTGGAGCAGAACCGTTGACGAGACAACTTTGAACTTTAAATAGCCCTAAAAGTGCATAGTATTACTTTAAGAGCACATATTGCTACTCTGAGGTGCTGATATTTACATCTATGCGTTTGTCAGATGTATTTATCCAAAGCGACTTGCATTGCATTTGAGGCACACATTTACATTTTAAAGCTCTTGCATTTCCTGGGAATCGAACCCATGAACTTGAAGCCATATGCTTTCCATAATATTCATCTTTGAGGCATAAATAAGGTACAGTCGTCCCTTTACCTGTTCTGTCCCAGCTGATGCACCCCTAAAGGAACAATTTTAGCATGATATTTTTGACTGTGTGGAAAATAGGTTGCAGACACGTAACAGTTCGGCCTCTCATCCGTGATAGTTTACGTCCAAAGCTCCTGCAGTACGTCACTCTCATCCTTCATCAGCATCAGATGCTTCTATAGATGCTGATCTGGGAATCCTCAAACCCAATGCAGACGCTTTCATCCCAATAATTCAGCGGTACGGTCCATTAAAGGGGTCATAAGATGTTGCTAAAAACAACATTATTTTGTGTATTTGGTGTAATGATATGTGTTTATGCGGTTTAAGGTTCAGAAAACACATTATTTTCCACATACTGTACATTATTGTTTCTCCTCTATGCCCCGCCTTTCTGAAACGCGTCGATTTTTACAAAGCTCATCGGTGTGAAAAGCGAGGTGTGCTGTGATTGGCCAGCTATCCAGTGTGTTGTGATTGGCCGAATACCTCAAGCGTGAGACGGAAATGTTACGCCCCTCACCATACTGTGATGATGCCCTGTCCGGCCGGGGCGATGAGACAAAAACATTAAAACCCATTATAAACGAGGCATTCGTTGCATCCAGTGGGGACATATTTATGGATTATAATGACTTATACTGTCTTTTTATGCGTTGCATTGCATCGCGCCGCGTAAACAAAAAACCCTGTCTGCATTTGTGATCAAAGAGAAAGGAACAACTGAAATCGCATCATATGACCCCTTTAAACATAAAATGGTAGAGATCATGTGAGGTCATTGTTCAGCATTCACTGACCTTTTCTCTCTTTATTAGGCAGAATCAGCAGAGAGTCTATTAGTGCAGTTAGTCTGTGGTTTGCATCTCAAGATGATCCGAGTCTTTCTTCAGATCTTCAAGTCACAGGCTGCTGTGCTGCAGGCTCGGCCGCATGGGTTCGCAGTCCTTCATGCTGTCGTCGTTCTCGCGCATGTACATGAGGAAGAGTGTGACGTTGGTGAATGTTGTGGCATTAACGGGAAACGCTCTCAAGAGAGTCGAGGTCAGGCCTCGAGTGAAAGCTCTCCATCCTTTCCGCCGCCAGCTCTGACGGACGCAGTCCAGGATGCCGTCGTACCTGTTGGCTCCGCCCACTCTGTCCGCCTGTAGGCGGGACTTGATGACATCCACGGGATAAGTAGAGATCCAGGACGCCATTCCCGACATGCCGCCCGCCAGGAGCAGCTTGGGAATGATGTAGTCGGCGTCTGCGTCGCAGCCCAGTGCGCGTGTAACCCCTCTCTCCCGAGTCCTATCGCCACACCTCGTTCTCGTTCCGAGTGGGTCTCGAACCCGGGTCTCCGGCGTGGAAGGCGGATGCACTAACAAGGAGGCTAAAGACTGTAGCCACTAACGTCAGTCGCTAGTGCGTCTCTTGAGATCAGGGGAGTGAGGTTTGGCCTCCGTTACACGCGCGTCAGCTTATCATAGGCGAGGAAGTAGAAACCGAATCCAGGCGTCTCGCGGATGACGGTGGTCACCATTCCTCGGTTTATTCCTCGGACTCCCTCCTTCCGGTGGATGCGGATCAGGCAGTCCAGAGAGTTCCTGTAGATTTTCCTGGAGGCGCTCTTCTCGCCCGTTCCCTGCATCTGCATGCGGGTCTTGGCCAGCTCTATCGGGCAGCAGATCACACACTGGATGAATCCGGCCGCCGCGCCCGCTAGGTACTGGTGCTGAGGCGTATCCGCGCCCAACATGCGCATGGCGTTTCCCTGCACGCCGAAGACGATGGCGTTGATGAAGGTCAGGCCCATCATGGGCGAGCCGATGCCCTTATAGAGGCCCAACATCTGGAGTCAAACGAGAAACAGAAAGAGTGTGAAGGGTTAACGACTTGAGAACCCGAAACCCCTCGTCTCTCCACCCGCGGACAAATATACGTAGATGTTCCCCGTGCTTAATTTAGCTCGGTGTGCTCGTTCCTGAAGCATCGGGTCTCCAGTATCTCCTGGTGTCAAACATCTCAGCGTTACTGAACCTCGAGCACATGTACTACTTCAGATCATATCAACATCGTCGGATTGATTCGTGTTCCTGGAGATGATACGCTCTCAAAAATAAAGCTTCCACAGTGAACCATTTTTGGTTCCCCAAAGAACCTTTCAGTGATCAGTTCTTAAAAAGAATCAGTTTTTTCATCTTTAAAATAACATATTACAAGTCTAAAGAACCTTTTGCACAGGGGAAAATGATTCTGTGGATGTTAAAGGTTCTTCACGTATAGGAACCATTTTTGGTCCCTAAAGCACCTTGCAGTTAGCAGTTCTTTAAAGTACCATTAGTGTGAAGAACATTATTTTTAACGATCTAAATAACCACTTTCCACAAAACACTTTTAAAAATAAAGGTTCTTTACTGACGTAGATTATTCCATTTAGAAACTTTAACATCTATAGAATCTTTCCATTCCAAGGTTCTTTAAAGTGGAAAAGGGTTCTTTAGATTATTAAAATGTTCTTCACACATATTCTTTTAAGATCTGTTCACTTGTAGGTTATTTGGTGAACCAAACATGTTTTTTTTACGGCATCATTGTGAAAATACCCTTTTGGAAACTTTGTTTATTTTTTATTTTATCCAATAGAAAGATTCCATGGATGTTTAATTTAAATGTAATTTTTTAAAGAGCGTCTTCTTAATTTTTGATCAAAATTTGGTGCCCCTCTCTTTCAATAAATCAGATAAAAATGATTGATAAATCAGTCGTTTTTGTCTTGTGAATCATCCTGGAAATTGTGGAAGTCAAATGGTTTTCAACTGTAAGATCAGTGTAAAACCAGCCTGTTGAGCTTTCAGAGACATCATGAAAACTCCTACTCACTGATTCCTGACGGACGATGGACTGGAAGCAGTGATACGTGCCGCGGTACAAGGGCTTGTCCACGCTCCGAACCTGCAGTCTCACCTAGAAAATTGAGTTTTTCCCATTAAACCTGCTGTGATCAGGCCACGAGTGATGGTTGAGATGGAAAAACACAGCAGAAATCACACATTTCTGAATGAATGAATCTAGAGCTGATGTTTGACCATATTCAATAAGATTCCAGTTCAATGGAAAGAGAGGAACGGACCCGGGCTTTACTTACGAGGTTAACCTCCGAGCGGCCGGTGTAACAGCCTCGCTCTCATCTACAACAAAGTGACACTTTTGCTGTAAAAGACCCTTTAGCTGTGAACTCGTGAGAAAAGTGTTAGTTTTACGGCAATTCACAGAAACACATGCATGCAACACTAATGACAATAACAACCCGTAACACAACACAATTCAGTCTGAGCATTCTGTCTCTCAGCTGTTGCTTTCTAATGCAGGTATATCATCTAAAGATATGCGTCTTGATCAGCGTCAATGCACATTTATGCATTCAGCGGATGCTTTTATCCAAAGTAACTTGCGTTGCATTCAAGATGTCTATCAATTTTGGGAGGTGCCTTTCTTTAGTGTTTGACAGGAACACCCAAACCTCAAGCTAAAACATTGAAATATTAATGTTATTTATAGTTGTGCATAAACTCTAAAAAAAATGCTGGGTTAAATAGGGACAAACCCAGCAACTGGGCTGTTTTGAGCCAGCGGTTGGGTTAAATGTTTAACCCACCCTTCTGGGTAGTAACCCAATCGCTGGGTCAAAACAGCCCAATTGCTGGTTTTGTCCCTATTTAACCCAGCACTGGGTTGTGTTTAACCCAGCAGTTTTTAGAGTGTAGATTTTAATTGATTATACAATCTAATAGATGGCGATTTGTCAAACCGTGAATGCAGAAACAGAGCAGACAATAAAGCCTTTGACTGAACACATGCACTCAGTGTTTATGATGAGCTTTAATAGTAGATGCACTCTTAAAAATAAAGCTTCCAAAAGGGGTTTTTGCAGGGATGCCACAGAACAGAGGAGCCAAAAATCTAACTTAATTGGAAGCCTTAAAAATGTTGCATTATACCCAACTGTATTATATTAAAATGTATCAATAATTAATAAAATAAAAATGTAATACATTTTTGAATAATAAATAAAATGTTAAAACAAAAATATACAATGAAGATATGCTTCGATGGCATGTTTTCCCTATTTTCCCTCACTCTTGTGATAATGGCGTGGCGGGTCAAATTAATGGTCATCATGTGTCAGTTTTGGTCAGCAAGTTTGGGAATCTCTGCCATAGATGAACCATTTTTGGTTCCCCAAAGAACCTTTCACTGAACAGTTCTTCAAAGAACCATTTGTCTTAATCTTTAAAATAGCATTTTACGAATCTGAAGAAGCGTTTGCACAATGGAGGGGTCCCGTGGATGTTAAAGGTTCTTCATGGAACCACCAATGAAGAGCCTTTATTTTTAAGAGTTTAAGAAGAACCATTTTTGGTTCCCCAAAGAACCTTTTAGTCAGCAGTTCTGAAGAGTTTTATAGTTTAGTCAAAGCGGACGTACCTTGACCGTATCAAACGGATGTCTGACCAGCACACCTGCGGCTCCTGAAATATGAACACCTGAGAGTGAGATTGGACCGTTTTCAGACCGTCACCGTGATGTCAGGCCGGTTATATTTCACCGCAGAGCTGCAAACGACTGATGCAATGTGTTTGAGATACGAGTTAGACGTCAGTGTTTGAGGTCAGCTCTTCAGCCTTGACCCGTGCGAATGAAAGCAACACCTGCGTCACTGAGGCAAGAGCTGTTTGACCGGTCGACGTGGACCTCACACAATCATGATCATCTGACTGCAAACGTCTGGAGAAAGTCTTCATGCTTCTCAAGATCATTCCTGTTTAATGAGCTTCAGTTCTTATCAGAATGATGGATTGATACAGCAGCAGGTGAAGGATTCTGTATGATGACAGGTTTCACTCAGATTAAATGCATTTCGGATCAGAATGATTGTTTATTGGCTCTTCAGTCGCTCACATTAAAGTATCTGATGATATTTGTTGGATCCCAGTGTGGGATATTAGTCAGAGAGCTGACAGCATACAACGGGTGGCTAGTAATCAGTTACCAGTATAACTAGAGAGCTGTCCTCTATTTCAGCAACTAGATTAGTTCTCATTTACTCTGCATGTTATTTGACTGAGTGTTGAATGTTTCAGTGAGCGTGTGCAGATCTTCAGACAGTCAAATGAAGCGCATTTGACCTCCAATGCATCCTGCAACAAAGTCCAGAGCCATTCCTCAGATGATGATGATGATGATGATGATGAAGATGAGTGTGGGTGTCTGTGAGCTCTGATCCTCCAGCAGCAGCAGCACGGTTTGTTCGGTCGGTCAGTCGCTGGACGTCTGTGCTCATGAGCAGCTGCTGCTTCTGTGCCGCTATTTTTACTGAATGAAGTTGATATGAAGGGGAAAGTCCATCTGTGACCAATAGAAGCTCCAGGATGAAGAAACACCCCCATCATCATCATCATCATCATCATCATCGAGGCTCATACATGCATGTGCTTGAGACACTGAGTAAAAAAGAGAGTAAAACTCTGTCAGAACTTCAGCTCACTGTGATTTAGTTCTGTACATTATAAATATGAAGCAGGTGCATGTTAATCAGCAATTATATAATAATAATAATAATAATGATTAGAAAGAATGCTTAATAATTATAATCTATTATTGGTTACTGAAAATGAATGTTGATGCGTACGCCAGGTTCATTATAATAAACTAAACCATAAACCATAAAAATAATTATTTGAAATTAAAAAAAAAACCTGAAATGAAAAACATTTACTGAAAATATTTTAATTTTTTTTTAAATAGACTTATTTTGATTTATGAAGTTGATAAAACCATATTTCTCATTTTAATTTAGTTTAATCTGATGCATTAAAATAACTAAAAATGAATAAAAACTAGACATTTAAAAAAAATCTAATAAACATTAAATGAAAAAAAATTACAATGAAAGTAGAAAAAACCTATAATAGTTATAATAATCTCAGTGACTCTAAAACAATCATTTTGAATTATATAATAATAAAGTGCTTTGGTTTGACAATATCAAAATCTCTTTTCTGTTTGGCTGATTCATGAAGATTTTTAATGAAGTGAGGCCAGACTTGGTTTTAATTATTTTTGATTATTATTTTATTGTAGTTTTGTTTTTTAATCTAATGTGAACTTTAAAACAGCTTTTGTACATTTTGTTCTCTTTTGTTGTTTATTTACATATTTATTATTATTGTTGTTATTTAATTTATTTATGCATGCATTTAACCTTTTCTTGTCATGAAAATAGCCGTGGCATGTCCTTCAAATATAAACAAACAATATGCGCTGGCTGTTTATTAATAGAGCGGCGTTTACAGTAGCCGACGCTGTACAGTAATCATGTGTATTTGTGTAACACGTGACAGAGCGAATGTGACTCTTGGCCTTTAACTCTGGTGTGTATCTTCACCATCATCATCATCGTCAGTGGTGTGAGGGAATGGAGAGCAGCGCCGCTCAGCGGTCACTGCAGGAACACGAGCGCTGTCGGACTCTGCCGCCGGTGGCTCTTGATCTGATCCTGATGATATTTCCTGCGCTACAGTGAATCACAGCATCAAAGGAGCCGAACATCCGCGCGGACTCACGCGTTACTGTTACACGCCATCGGTGATTCAGAACCTTCGTTTCTGAAGGTGATCGTGACCTTCGGTTCACCTTTCTGCAGCGACACACACACACACACACTTCTCTTCATCTCTGTCTTCTTCACAATCATCATAATCAGTTCGTTAACGGCGTTTGTCCGACTCGCGTTCGGCGGGTCGAACCGGATGATTCGGATGCTTCTGCTTGATCGGTTCTGCTGGTTCCGATTCCTCTATTTGATCGGTTCGGATCATTTGTGATGATTCGGATCGGTTCCGATTCCTCTTATTTGATCGGTTCTGCTGTTTTCGAATCTTCTGTTTGATCGGTTCGGATCATTTCTGATGAGTCGGATCGGTTCCGATTCTTCTGCTCGTGATGCATCTCGCGGATTTCGTCGCCGGTTCTGTCGGAGGTCAGTGATGTAACTCAGCTGTGTTTAGTCTCGGTGTGTGAATGTGAGATTCTCTTATTCTGCATAATGTATGTCTGTTATTTCTCTGCAATGAGGAATGTGTTGTGATCTGTATATTCAGGGGCTTTTGGAGTGGCGGTGGGGTATCCGCTGGACACAGTGAAGGTAAACACATCCTCCTCATCCTCATCTTCATCAGCTGCAGTACTGTATCAGGTGTGTAACGCTGATGGATGCTGCAGGTGAGGATCCAGACTCAGACACGTGACTCAGGTGTTTGGGAGTGTGTGAGAAGAACCTGCAGAACTGAAGGAGTGAGTACCTGCACAAACACTCACAACTATCCAATAGAAATAAGAAAAAGGGTCATTGAGAATTTTTATCTCGCAGTCTCACGATTCTGACTGCTCTTCTTTCATGTCTCAGAAAAAAAGCCAGAATTGTAGTTGACAAAATAATAATATGATGATGTGTAAGTTGCAGAAACTTTTGAGCAGAACTGTAAAGTCAGAATTGCGAGATATAAACAAAACTGAGATAAAGTGAGAATTGCTCGATTAAATCACAAATACTCTTTTTATGTGTTATTTCTGTTGTGGAATGTAAGTAACCTGCCGGCATGTTTCAGGTCAGAGGTTTCTACCGCGGGATGTCCATGCCGCTGAGCACCGTCTCCATCAGCTCCTCGCTGGTGTTTGGCACCTACAGGAACGTCCTGCACCTCCTGCATGAGCTGCGGCACAGAAGCGCAGCGGATCCGCACCATAAAGCTGATTTATTTGTGTCTGGGTTTGCTGGAGGCGTGGCTCAGGTGCTCTGCGTTCATCAGCTGTCAGGCCGCGCTTCTCGTGTGTGGCTGCATGTGTGAGTCAGGTGTGTTCGCTCTGCTTTCAGGTTTTGGTGATGTCCCCCGCAGACATTGTGAAAGTGCGTCTTCAGTGTCAGACCGAGCTGCCGGACTCCAGGCCCAAGTACCGCGGCCCGGTGCACTGTCTGCTGAGCATCGCGCGGGATGAGGGTCTGCTGGGGCTCTATAGGGGCTCTGCTGCTTTAGTGCTGCGCGACGGACCCTCCTTCGCCACGTACTTCCTCACGTACAGCAGCATCTGTGATTCCCTGCGCTCTACAGACAGCAGCCAGCCAGGTGCACTCACTTCCCTCTGACAACACCGGATCTAGAAACTCCTCACCAGTTATTCAGCAGTCACACACTGCAGGCAAACCCGTTTTTGAGATTTTGGTCTATTTTGGTTCCATAACACGTCTTTTATTACAGACTAGTAGAAAGAAAACATCCAAAATACACATTTAACTCTTTATTCTATCGCTCTTTATCTAGTTGTGTCTTTAGATTTCAATCTTTAAAGAGTTTTTTCTCTTACAAACACCAAATGTTACAGTTTTATTCCTCTCTATATTCTGAAGGTTTGTTCATATTTCATTCACACTGATTTCTACATTTTACTCCTGAAACATGGTGAAAATGTGTTTGTTTTCTGTCTGTCGACAGTATTTTATACGGAAGCCTGTTTCTGCCACAGTGTTAAAAAATGTAACAAATAATTGCAAGTTTTTGTTTCACAATTTGAACTTTTTTTTTTACAACTTCTTGTTTACAATTCACAATTTTGATGTTTTTTCTCTTAATTCTGCGTTTATATCTCACGATTCTGAGAATTCTGAGGAAAAAAAGTCAGAATTGTTGGGGAAAAAATTCCCTTTTTTATTATTATTATTTATTTTATTTTTTTCTGTGGTGGAAACAAGCTTCCATAACTTTCTGCTTTATGAAGTGATTAAAAAGAGAAAGAAAACCCTTTAAAGGTGGGGTATGTATTTTTTCTAAAATGCTTTAGAAAACTGAGTACCAAAACAAACTTGTAGCCAATCAGCAGTAAGGGGCGTGTCTAATTATGATGTGGAGGAGAGAGAGTTCAGTGCACAGGACGGACATTAGCCGAACCGAGCGACAGAAAGATGGAGATGGTGGATAAAAAACAAAAGAGGAAACTGTCTGCGGAACAAAAGAAGGCTTAAGGCAAGAAGTAGGACCCGTGTAAATATCGGATCACGACAAAATCAAACAAGAATTTTGAACCTCAGTATCCAATGTTCAGATTTCTGTTCTGGAAATGCATGCAAATGAATGCATATTTAATTAGATTCACGTCTCATTTGCATATTCAAACATTCAATTTCAGAGCATTTGTAATATAAAACCATTCAAATACCGTTCTAATCGGTCTCAGTGTAGTGATGTGTGTGAGATCTGTAGGCGGTCAGGTGTTGACTGTGCTGTGTTTCAGGCTGGCCGGTGGTTCTTCTGGCCGGTGGTGTGTCTGGGATGTGCGGCTGGGCCGTCGGGACACCGATGGATGTGATCAAGGCGCGTCTGCAGGTGTCTGGCGTGAGCGGCCGGCGCTACAGAGGATTCTTCCACTGTCTCTCACACAGCGTGAGGAGCGAAGGCGCCGCTGTTCTCTTCAGAGGTCTGACGGTGAACTGCATCCGTGCCTTTCCGGTCAACATGTCCGTCTTTGCCATGTACGAACTGGTTGTTCGCTTTCTGCGTTCGGCGTCATAGATCGTCGTCAGATCTTCTTTGCACACGTGATTCCTCACTGAGGACGGTTAGCATCAGTGTTTTATGAACCGCACAGCTGGACGTTTGTGACCGGAAGCCTTTCTGTGCTCAGCTTCTGAGCTGCAGAAGCTCTTCAAGCACATAATGTACGGAGTGAATATTTATCATTTGCATTAATATATATTTGAGTGTGTTTTGCAGTGTCTACCTCCAGATGCGTGCGTCTGTGCATCATGAATGTTTAAAGGAATAGTTCAGCCAGAAATGAACATTTGCTGAAAATGTGCTCATCCCAGATCAGGATGAGTTTGTTTCTTCATCAGGTTTGTAGAAATGTAGCACTGCATCAGTGTCTCACTGCAAGTGAATGGGTGCCGTCAGAATGAGAGTCCAAACAGCTGATAAAAACATCACAATAATCCACAAGTAATCCACAGCACTCCAGTCCATCAGTTAACATCTGGAGAAGACAAAAGCTGAAACTAATCCAGCATTAAGACGTTTTTAACTAAAATACATTGAGTCCATAATCCATAATAACTCTTCCTCCAGTGAAAAATAGCTGTAATGCATTTTAGTTAAAAGCATCTTAATGCTGGATTTGTTTCAGCTTTTGTCTTCTCCAGATGTTAACTGATGGACTGGAGTGCTGTGGATTACTTGTGGATTATTGTGATGTTTTTATCAGCTGTTTGGACTCTCATTCTGACGGCACCCATTCACTTGCAGTGAGACACTGATGCAATGCTACATTTCTCCAAACCTGATGAAGAAACAAACTCATCCTGATCTGGGATGGCCTGAAAGTGAGGAAGCATTCAGCACATTTTCATTTCGGAGTGAACTATTCCTTTAAGGACTTTAATCATGCGAATATCATATGAACAGGTTTAACCCTTTACTAACCGTTTCTGATGAGTGAGACTCTTCTCTGTGTATTTAATCTCAGCTGGAATGACTGGAGACTGTTGGCGACGCTCATGTTTAACTCATATCAGGATTTACACATTAACACGCGTTCTGTGTCAGATGTGTGTCTTGTTTTACAGATGGACTGTGAATCTATCGTGTGTTAAATGCACCATTTATTCATGTGAATGTTCACTGAATCAGCAGTACTGTAATTATGGCATTAAACGTGTCATTTATAACATCAGAGTGTCATTATTTATGCATCGCAGGCATGAGGTTTATTAGACCGGAGCGGTTCGTATCTGTGGGTCACTGAGGGCCGGAGTCTGTGGTTTCTGTCTCTAGCAGCTGAAGTGTAGTTTGCGAGGGCTCATGAACTGTTGTACGATCTCGTCTGTCACGAGTGTGCGTCTCTCCTGATGTGCGGCGATCATGGGCTGAAGCGTCTCGATTAAACTCTTCTTCAGTTCTCCGGTGAGCAGCGCGCCGCTGCTGTAGTCCTGCAACACAACGAGTTTACCATCACTCACATTCTAGATTTTATGGTTGCACTTTACAATACGGTTTCATTAGTTAATACGTACAATACTTTTACAGCACTTATTAATATTAGTTCATGTTAAGTTCAACATTCACTGATACATTATTAAAATCAAAAGTTGTATCTGTTAACATTTACTGAATGCACTGTGAACATGAACCGTTTTATTAACAACGTTAACAGATTAATTGGTCATTCATTCTCAATACATTGTTCATTCTTAGTTTGTTAGTTAATGCATTCACTTAAATTAACAAACGAGACTTTATTGTAAAGTTTTACCGTTTTTATTCATATTTAAATTTAGCTTTTATTTTTATATTTGCAGTTTTCACTTTAAATTGCAAGTTTTAGTAAGTTATGTTTTTTTTTTTAGTTTTAGTCATTTTAGTACAACAAATTACACTAAATGAAAATGATGCATTGGCACCTAGCAGAAATAAAATGTTTTTGTCATTTAAATTTTTTTTTAATATGTCTATAAGGTTTTTATTAATTTTTATTTAAGTTTTTTAGTTAGTTTTTAGTACATAAAGTAAATGAAAATGAGAAACGTTGCCTTGGCAAGTTTTTAATATTTTTTATTTTGAGTAATATTATAAATATATTTATTTTACTTTGAAATTTCATTTTACAGTAAAAGTTTATTTTTTTATTTCAAGTAACAAAACTTTCTATAATAATAAACATTTATTTGTATATCATTTTTCATATGTGTCCCTGCAGCACAAAAGCAGTCTTAAGTCGCTGGGGTATATTTGTAGCAATAGCCAACAATACATTGTATGGGTCAAAATTATACATTTTTCTTTTATGCCAAAAATCATTAGGATATTAAGTAAAGATCATGTTCCATGAAGATATTTTGTAAATTTCCTACTGTAAATATATCAAAACTTAATTTTTGATTAGTAATATGCATTGCTAAGAGCTTCATTTGGACAACTTTAAAGATGATTTTCTCAATATTTAGATTTTTTTGCACCCTCAGATTCCAGATTTTCAAATAGTGGTATCTCAGCCAAATATTGTCCTATCCTAACAAACCATACATCAATGGAAAGATTATTTATTCAGCTTTCAGATTCAGCTTTCAATAAAAATGGACCCTTATGACTGGTTTTGTGCTCCAGGATCACACATATGAAGTGCTTCACAAGATAAAACAGAAGCATAAAAACAAACACTGAAAATATGGTTTCACACAATAACAATATAATACAGTACTATTTTCAGTGTTAGTTGAGGATAATAAGTGACGTCATCAGCTGGATCACGTGATCTCACCTGTCTGATCTTCTCCAGCTGTTCATCGTCTTCCAGGAAGAAGCTCAGGTACATGAAGGAAACGTCCACGTCTGGATTTCCGCCGCACTTCCTGTGCTCCTCGACCGTGTCCTTCCCGCCGGAGAAGGCGTGTTTGTTGACCTGGAACAGGAATGATGAACATGATGAACACCAGCTCACCTTCTGTGAGTAATGGGTCAAAAGGAGGCGCACCTTGTTCTTGATCTGTTTGGCCGAGTCGGTCAGGAAGATGGAGGAGTTGGCGTCGCTGGCGCTCATCTTGGTCTGAGCTCCCTGCAGCGCCGGGAAGAAGGTGGAGTGAAGCAGAGCCGGCTTCGGATACCCGATCCGAGGAGCCACGTCCCGCGTCATCCGGAAATACGGGTCCTGAGGAGCACACGGTCACATGATCACACGACACACGTGAGTCCGGTGGCGCGAGCACGAGTCGAGCGCCTCACCTGATCGATGGCACACGGGATCAGACACTGAACATCCGTCCGCTCGCCGAAGATCTGCGGGAACGAGCTGCTGAAGGACGGAGCCGCTTGAATGGCCGGGAAGCTGATTTTACCTGCAGAAACACGCGATTAAACACGACGCACAACAAACACTCGCCGGATTCCCGCCACACAGAGACGCTCCTCACCGATGCAGTCGCTGTCTGTGAAGCCAAAGATGCCTTTGACCTGGTTAAACGTCACGTGCTTCTGGACCTTCACCACGTTCCTGTAAAACGAAGGACTCGCCCTGACGGAAAAAAACATCTGGACGGTTATTTATTTCAGTCGAGTCAAATTTATATAGTGCTTTTCATAATGCAGCTTTACAGGAGATCATGATGTTATGTTTATAATACCTTAATATCTTCATGCATTACAGTCACATGTATCAGATTCGAGCTGGACGATAATAGTGTTACATTTTGCGATATAAACAATCAAGCAGTTGTGGTTTGCTATATAGTATATATATCGCTATTTGTGATTGAACTGTATGTATGTGGATACATTTGGATATATATATATATATATATATATATATATATGTAGATATATTTACATATTTTTTTATTTATATATGCGTTTACACATATATTTACTGACACACACACACATAAAGCAGTTGAGATGTAATAGTGCCACCTGCTGTCTGCACTGACACACAACATCAAACTGTTGCATTATAAAGACGTGAGTATTTTTACCCCATATAGTCAAGGTCAGAGAAGATGAAGGTCTTGTTGACGTCGAATCCGCAGGCGATGATGTCTCTGGCGTTCTCCACCGTGTACCGGTGACACTCGTCCAGCGACAGATCCTTCCACAGATACTTCTCATCATCGGTCATCTGAATGACCAGAGGAACGTCAAACACGTCCTGAAGCCACCTGTGACACACACACACACACACTCACACAGACACAGATATACACACACACACACACACACACACACACTCACACACTCACACAGACACACACATCAGCACTTTCACAGACTCCCGCTGAACGCTGTCGCACTGAGGAAGACTCACTTGGTGAAGATGAAGGGGATCAGGTGACCCACATGTATGGCCTCTGAGGACGGCCCTCGACCCGTGTACAGATAGAAGGACTTCTGCTTCTCGTACGCGTCCAGGATCTGATGCATGTCCCTGTGGATCACAAACAAGGCATTAGACCAAAGGATCAATCTTTCAGATGCCGTGATCCTCATGTGAGCGACACACATCCTACAATTGAACACAGCTATAAATGTACCACTACAGAGGCCTGGTTTACACGGTGTATATACTGTAAAGCCTGTTGACTTTTGCCCTTTTTTTTTTTTTTTTACATTCGTTTCTTATTTATTTGGCTCCACAGTGTTTGCTGATTTTTTTTTTTTTTAATTTAAACTTTGTGTAAGTTATTTGTTATTTCATATTAGGCCTATAGCATGGTGTTTTTATTCGTTTGTTAATAAAAGTTCTGTTTAATATAAGTGAGTTTGTTGTCGTACTGTTTTGTTGTTGTCCATTCAAGCAATTGATTTGAAAAGTGAAAGTTCAGCAAGGAACCACACCACCCGGAGATACAGGTATTACTGCTGCTGTTACACCTCGATTAACCGCTGGAAAAATTATATTTTTATTATTTTATGGATTTTTTTTCTACTCACTATAGAACTGTACTATTATATGTATTTTTAGTTTATTTGAATATTAATTTTTATCAGTTTTATTTATTTTAATCTATTAATTTATTTATATTTTATTATTTAAAATATTTTTTACTATTTATTTGAATCTATTTACTTATTTATATTTTGTCTATTTATTTTAATCAATGTTTTATTATTTATATATGTAGAGTGCTGGTGTGTGATGAAGCGTCAGTCGCACCTGTGTGAGAAGAAGATTCCTCTGCGCAGGAAACGGTGCGGTGTTTTTCCCGTGACTCGAGCGATTCTGTCCACCAGCTCCTGATCGATCTTACTGCTGCCGAACCGCACTGACAGCAGCAGAACAACCTCGTTAATGCATTATTCATCACGGGTCATTTATGAAAACAGACCTGC